TTCTAATGGTCATTCTGGCATCGACAGATTTTGGCTGATTCTTTGCCAGACTTAAAAGGGGCATTGCAAAAGTTGATTTTTCTTCTCTTCTTAATATCATTTAATACTGGTGAGAGAACATCAATATCCGCATCTTTTTCAGTTCCTCTCTTATATGTCTGTTTATAATCTTTGTTGTTTTTATTTTAGTGGTATTTGACACACTCGACATAAAAAAACCCTAATTTTGCAAATTATTGCATATTTTGTAGGTTCTAGTTCAGCATAATTCCAACTTATATGCTGCCAATGGTGCTGGAGTGGTCTTGGCTGAGAAGGGGCAGTTCGATGTTTCAAAAGACATCTTCTCGCAGGTAAGCTTGTACTCATACTGCGATTGTGTCATGAGAACGTCTTTTGTTAATGCCATACTCGTTGCTGACTAACAGGTTCAAGAAGCTGCAAGTGGAAGTATATTTATTCAGTTGCCTGACGTGTGGATCAATATAGCACATGTTTATTTTGCTCAAGGAAACTTCGCATTGGCCGTGAAAATGGTAAGCTGGCGCTCTCTCTCTCTCTCTCTCTCTCTCTCTCTCTCTCTCTCTCTCTCTCTCTCTCAGACTTGTCCAAGGACATCCATGTGCTTACTTCACTTGATTGTTATGCAGTATCAAAATTGCTTGCGGAAGTTTTATCACAACACAGACTCTCATATTCTTCTTTATTTGGCGCGCACTCATTATGAAGCTGAACAGTGGCAAGACTGCAAGAAAACTTTGTTAAGGGCCATCCACTTGTCACCTGCAAATTACGTATTAAGGTTTGATGCTGGTGTTGCAATGCAGAAATTCTCAGCATCGACACTGCAAAAAGCAAAGAGAACGGCAGATGAGGTTGTTTGAAGATTCAATGCTTGGTTTTATCATTCCTCTTTGTTTTCTCGCTTGTTTCTATGTTCTTTTTCTGCTTGATTAAGGATTAAGTCAACACCGGTGATCAGTTATGCACTTGCATATTGGTAGAGAAAAAAATAAATAATGGATAAACAAGCATGACAGAGAACTTCACAAGTAATAAATTTTGTTGCACATGTTGAGTTCTGAATTTTGCCTTGTATCATTGTTTTCAATCCTTTTGGACTCTAGTTTCACACTTGTGGCAATTGAGCTCCTGTAATTGGACGATATCTTCAAATGCCTTGAGAAAATAAAGCCTATATAATTTTGTGTTTGGCTCTGTGCTGACTGAATGACTATTCTGACTGATGGGATTTCTTCTCCTTCAAAGTAGCAATATTGAGTCTTTATACTTCGGATGTTATAGGTGCGCTCAGCAGTTGCTGAGCTTCAGAATGCTGTACGCGTGTTTAGTCAAATGGCTGCTGGTGCCAATCTTCATTATCATGGGTTTGATGAGAAGAAAATTGATACTCATGTTGGATATTGTAAGCACTTACTTGAGGCTGCAAAAGTTCACTGTGAGGCAGCTCAGCGTGAGGAAGAGCAGGCACGGCAAAGACAAGAACTTGCGCGTCAGCTTGCACTGGCTGAGGAAGCCCGCCGGAAGGCTGAAGAACAGAGGAAGAAGCAGGTGTGCTATTGTGAATTTGCTCTGACATCAACAGATTAATTGAGCTCTTCTCTATTTGCTTTTGTTGTAAAGATATGACCTCATTCCTCACCTTTTCTCATTATTCACTCAAAACAGTTGGAAAAGAGAAAACTGGAGGATGAGCAGAAGCGGGTTCAGCAACAAGAGGAGCACTTCCGGCGCGTAAAGGTGAGGGCCTGGAAATTGTGCTCTGTTGCAATTTTTCTCGTAGTTTATATGAAAATTGATCTCCACACATCTTGTAATGAAAAGAGAAAATGAGGAAAAAAAAGGAATTTGTTTGAAGTTTTGATTTCCAAAGAATTTGTTTCACATGGCAGAGGTTCTTGTTGGCTGCAAATGGTCTCTTCTATTAGTAGCATGTCACCTGGAGTTTAGGTCGTGACAATCTACTTGGTCTGGCATTTGCTTTGAGAAGTCAAAACTATTTTTACTTGTGATGCAGCTTATGTAGGAAATTGGACCTGTTTACTGTACGAAAATTATGCACCATTGATGGGATGATGTGAACTCCCAAAAGTATGCACTTGATCTACATTTTGAATTTACACACATTTGGATGTACATGATCTCTAGGAACAATGGAAGAGTAGCACACCTGCTTCTAAGCGGAGGGAAAGGTCTGATGCTGATGATGAAGAGGGTGGCCATAGCGAGAAGAGGAGGAGAAAAGGTGGTAAGAGAAGAAGGAAGGAGAGAAGTTCAAAGTCCCAATATGAGATGGAGGAAGCTGAAGCAGAAATTGATGATCAGGAATATGAAGATGCCAGCTTAAATTACGGGGAGCCTGTGGATCAAATGCATGATCAAGATGACGAGGCCGAAGAAAATGCCCAGGATGTACTTGCAGCAGCCGGGCTTGAAGATTCTGATGCTGAAGATGAGGTAATGAGAACTGCTTGTAACTCTTTCTTTTGATTACTAGCGTTGTCTTTATGAGTGGCAATTGTCTCCTTTCAAAGTTCATCGTTATTAACAAGTTACAGCAGTTTTAGGTGCCAAAATCTGATGGTAAACCATGAAGCATGCTTATCAAATACTCATGGACGGGATCTACTATGATGCAGTTATTCAATTCTCTCTTGTTCTGATATGTTTTGCTATTTCCTGTAAAGGCTGTGCCTCCCCCGAATGCAAGTAGACGGAGGAAGGCATGGTCAGAATCAGACGAGGAGGAGGAGCAACAGCCAGAAAGCGGCCTGGTCAGAGAGAATTCTGCAGAGCTTCAAGAGAGCGATGGGGAATTTAGGGCAGAGAAAGAGAAGCCGAATCGAGACGAAGCAGTCGAGGATGAAGATTAGAACACATTTCAACCCAATCGCTGGGATGGGACATAATCGAAGAGATCCTCTCTTTCGGTCTTTTAGTAGGGAGTCCTTTGCAACCGGGAATCGCTGTGCTGTCTATAGAACATCATCCATCTATTTTGGCGATCCCCAGTCTATTTTTTACCTAGCAACACTTTTTCCGTAGATGAATTGATGATCCCCATCCATCAACACAACAACATTTGTCACAGCTTGGTAACTCATGTATGAAACTGAACTGCAAGTAGCTGTTGGGGAGGCAAAACAAATAGAGGTGTTAAAGAAAAAAATGGAATCTCCTTCTCTCTCTCTCTCTCTCTCTCTCTCTCTCTCCTCTTTTTGGGCTTAAAACGACAGTACTTTGACTGAGTGAAAGTTGGTGCAGAAATAATAGCAGAAGGCATGAAGGGTGTCAGAAGAGGAGTGGAGGGGGGGGGGGGGGGGGAGGGGGGTGGGTTAGTTAGGTGGGCAGATGACAAAGAGGCTCAGGTGGTTTTCTGGCTTTGGGGTGGTGGGGGTGGTGGTCAGACTGACTCTGAATGAATGGGGGAGGGGTGGGTGGTCGGGTTGATGAGTCCCCTCCATTTGCCCTCCGAATAATGTCACAGTCCAGTCCTCGTCCAGAGTCTCTCTGTTCTTGCCTTCTTTTGTTTTCTCTTTTGGCTGAGCATAAGTCACTTTCTATGCATCTACAATATCACCCCAGAATCTGAACTTGGACACCCACCCGCCCCCACCCCCCGCCCCCCCTCCCCTCCACACTCTCTCTCTCTCTCTCTCTGGCCTTTTGTTTAAAATTTTTTTAAGTGTTTTGAAGTGATGCGACCAGACCAGACCCACTACCCACCAGAAGGTTCAGAAACGGACAGAGAGAGAGAGCCACAGTGTCAGAGTCAGAGTTTCGTCAGACAGTGGGGGTGCTCTTTTTTAATGCCAAAGCTTCTCCTGTTCCTTTTTTCGCCGGTGAAAAACAGACGCTTTCATCACGTGGACCAGTGAATAAGTAGAGTCACATTTCCTATTCTGAGACCCTGGTTGCGTCACCATTGTCGCCATCTCTGTTTTTATCGGGCTGTGAAGTGCATATATGCAATGCCCAAGCTGTCATTCGCAAATTGACATTTGGGTAAAATCCTCGTGAATCTCCATAGCTTTGTTTCGACATTTTGTGACTTGAGTGCCGAGATTTTTATGATAACACAAGTAGAGAGGATGGCTGGCTGGCTGGCTGATCATCCCCACTAAAAAAAGCGAAGTAGAATGCCTCAGCACTCAGCAGGTGAGGCTTCACTTTTGGCGCGAAATCTCACTGGAAAAGTCGTATATAATTGGTAACCCAAGAGTTTTACCTCGTTTTCGTTTTGTCTTCTTCCTTCCAAATCTGAATTTTGTGACAGACAGAAGGGTCATCGATTCCCTGTGTTCGTTTTGCATTTCCTTCTAATTGGAAATGTGGCCAGCAATCTATCATTACCAGAAAAAGCCCCTTCTTATCGAGTGTTTGATTCCACTTAGCATGAAAGAGCGGGATCTAATGAGGGAGATTGAGGGCTTTTTCTTTTGGAACCGGGGCTTTTGTTCTCAAGCACAAAAGACCCAACAGACAAAAACTCGTTTGTCTTTCTCATGTAAAAATTTTACCCAACTAATGAGAAAAATTCAAGCTACCCATGAAAGGAAACTCAAAATACCAATCAAATTCGAAAGCTCAGAAGCGCAAAAAATTACTTTATTATTCTTGTTTTCGTGTATAAATTGTGAGGCGGTACTGTCAAGCTGTCATGGGTTTGCTTCATATTCAGGAGCACACTCGAACATGGACCACCCCCCCACCGTATAAAAGAGAGGACTTCGATGCTGGTTTCCTAAATGCAATTGCCTTGGGTTGATGACAACAAAAGACGGGCCCACTCTGCGCTCTGCACCAACCAGACTGGGCTGAATCATAAGAACTCAGAAACGACACGACCGAGTGATGGGCCCATATGGGCCCGCCAACCATCATTACAAGTTGGGTCTCTTGTTCCCCTCCGAAAGCAACCGAAACCCATGAAAAATGAGGGGAAACCCAGAACAAAAGGAAACACATGATCTCCCATGTCACCTTGCCAAGAAACAATCTTGCATTCAAAAACAAAACCCACCTAAAAAGATCTCATCTGTCATAAAAGGGAATGCGGAGAAAGGACAATGAAAAAGATTTGATAACTAAAGCACTCTTCTTGGTCTATCAAGCAAGAAATGACATAACTTTAGAATCAAACTCCAACTCATCTCTAGCAACACCCACCACCCAAAAAAATAACAAAGCAAAAAAAAAAAAAAAGAAATCCCCCGACGTACAAGAAGAAAATGGAAGTCCAGAACGCTCTCAGGACACACACACACACACACAGTAGTCACAGCTTTCAGATCCCCAGAGATAGTCCTTCTTTCAGGGGTCAACCATCTGCAATCAAAGATTGAGCTCACTTAGCAGAAAAAGCCAGAGAGAGAGAGAGAGAGAGAGAGAGAGAGAGAGAGAGAGAGAGAGTTCTTTTTTGTTTTGTCGAGTGCTTGAGATACTATCAAACAAGGCTGTGACTTTTAGCTTCTTGTTTTGAATTAAGCATTGAAAGCAAGAGCCTGCTTTTAAGGGCGTGAAAATAAAGGTGGTGGAATGTGGCTAACCATAATTTCTTCTGGAATTGAATGCTGGGAAGTCGTTTGAGGAAGAGGGCATGGAAATGGACAGCTTGGTCGTCGACATGGATGAGCTATTCGATGACTTGTTGTCTTCCACATCAACCCAAGAACTGTTGTCTCTGCTCTTCATCGGCCCTTCATCGAAGAACCTGTGGATCGTCTTCTGGGGCTCCTCCTCATCTCTCTCCATCTTCATGGGCATCATCAGCTCACCCTTCACGTCTTGCTTGTAGTGCTTCGAGACATCACTCAGGCTCTGAAGCTGCAAGTAGGAGTAGTCGCTCTCTAAGGCCGAGCAACTCCTCTGCTTCGAGGAAGAGCTCATGGTGAGTGGTGTGAGCTGCCAAGAGTCATCCATGGATGAACCAGAGAAGCTCCTCATGCTCCCACTTGGCTCTGCAAAGAAGGCATGCTCATCCACGTGGTTCTCCTTCAGCCCGTAAAGGTACCTGTTTTTCCTTCCCACAAAAGCAAGAGACATACCTTGCCCACATCAGCAAAGGATCTTTGAGCAACCAACTTTCAACATAAAAAAAATCAAAAATTTAGTTTCACAAGAAAAGTAACCTGTAATCTTGGCTGCTTTGGGAATATGAGCCAGAGTCGAGCAGGAAGTTGGTGGTGGTGCTGTCTTGCGCAGACAAAGCGATGTTCCCAGGTGGCCTTGAAGAGAAGTAATAAGAATGGTGAGGATGGTTTGGGTGGTTGTGGTGGGAATGGTCATTGCTGGAGAGAGAGGAGAGGGACTGAGGGTTTGTGGCTGGACTATGAGAGTAGTAGGGGCTTTTGTTGGAGGGGGTGATTGATGCATTTGGTGTTGGGGTTGGTGAAGCAGATGAGATTGATGACAAAACTTCCACAGGCTTTCTTGAACGGTTCTTGCCTCTGTGCATGTGCCTCTCGCAGTACTTGGAATCTGGGTAGGCCTCTTTAGAGCACCTCCACTTCTTCCCATCTGTTCTTCTGCACCTCCCTGGCTCTGGGTCTATCTTCTTCCCCAGACCCATTTGGAAACAGTTCCATCCCACTGCACCCACTAACAGAACACGACCATACCAACAAAAGAAAGAGAACCATCAATTCTTAGCCAAAAAGGGACCACAAACAGCAAAAGCCCAAAAGAAAAATAAAACCCAGAAAAAAGAAGACCAAAAGTTCAAAAGAAAAGATAAAACCCAGGACAAGATAAACAAAAGAAAAGGATTGTTGGTGTTGGAGAGAGAGAGAATACCATGTTGGGGTTGGTGAGACAGGAACTTGGGAGAGAAAGGGGAGGAGTCAAAGCAGGAGGGGCTTCTCTTGAGGGAGAAGAGGAGGTCAGGAGGGATTGGGATGCCAGAGATGAGGTACTTGTAGATGAGGGCTTGGTGCTCCAGCTCTTGCCACTGTGAGGCTGTGAAGGGGAATCTGCTGCTCATTCCACCACTCATCATATGCACATACACGATATGTTCAAGCCCACAGCTGAAGGAAGCAAGCAAAAGTTGAGGAAATACAGAGCAAGAACAAAAAAATATGAGAGAGAGAGAGAGATCAGTATTTGGGCTTTGGAGGGAGGGAGTAGAGTAGGTATATTTATTTCAGGGACCATTGGGCTGCAGAATCTTCTGTACATGGATAAAACTCATGGTTCTGATTGCAGTGCTGCAACATCTCTCTCTCTCTTCCCTGTGCAAGTGACTTATTAGTGTGTGTGTGAGAGAGAGAGAGTCTGTGCACATATTATGACTGCAACGTCTCTGCAGCTTCTGGTCCTGCAGCTAAGCTGCCTCTGTGGCAGCTCTTGTCTCTGACATCTCTCTACGGAAATCCATAAACTAAACACTGAGAGAGAGAGAGAGAGAGAGAGAGCTTAAGCCAAAAAACAAAACAAAAAACAAGATAGCTATATTGAGATTTTCTTTGTACTAGAGATATGCATGTTAATATAATTATGTAAGATTGTGTATTAATTTTTTTAAGAAATTGTATGGTATTTACAAGTGTTCTTAAAATACTTACTAAATTTGCTTAATATTCAGAAATTATACTTCTTTCCATTTAGCTACTAAACAAGTAGTCAGAAGGCAATCTTTAACAGAACTTATATATAATTATATATTCTAAATGACATATACTTCGAGTAATGAAACATATTCAATTCTTAATTAAGAGTCTGTTGAATCGTTTTATATAGTGATTTGGGCATGTTAATCTTAAGACACCGAATCTTGTACATAAAAGAAGGAAAAGAAAGAAAGTCTAAGCCAAAAACAAAAGAAAGGCTGTGGGGGAGTGAATATTATATGAGTTGGTGCCTGAAGCAAATGCCCAGACTGAGAAAAGATTGTACGGGCTTGTGACAGCTTTTACTGCTACTAACTCTTTTACTTTTCTTCCTTCTTTCCTCTTTATGTCTTTAATTTTATTTTCTCTTTGGGCCTGTTCATTTTTTACTTCACACACAGACACAAGTGGCCAACAAAAACCCCACTTACATTTTGACCTTTTTCAATTTGGGAAACTTAGAAAAGGATATATGCAGTGTCTGGCTTTTCTTTTGCTTCTGAAAAGAATCATGAAACTTAGGAAGGGGAAGGGAAATGGGTTTTGTGTTTTGATGATGTTCCTGCTTCATCACCATTTTGGACAGGCTAGTGGAGTCATCATTGTGTAGCAGGTTTTAGGGAAGCAAGATCAAATCGAGGAATCGGGTTTGGAGGATTTCTCAGGGTTGTGTGACCAAAACCCTTGTGAAGGTTGGTTTTTGTGGACTAATGGTTCTTTCTAACTTTATCAACGCAATACAAGGCACAAAAATTTCTTCCTATCTGTCTAAACGAATCAATTGCTTCTCGTGTAAATCTCACCTCTTCGTACCACTTGAGAGGAACGCAGTTTGCAATCTTCCATCTATTACAAAAGCACCAAACAAAGTGACTATGATAATAAATACCGTTTATTAATGTGCTCGTGTAGGAAATGTTAGGTAGAAGACGAGTGATGTAACGTAGAACAGTCAACATATTCAATATCATGATTGATGGTGAGTTGATAGGTGGAGATCCTCGTCTTAATTCGCCTCAAAAGATTAAAAAAAAAGGTGGATAAAGGTGCGCGTTGCTGTGTAACAATCCATTACAAATTGGATTTGCCATTACACTCAACTCACTCTTGGCCATTGCATAGTCACCATCTTTTTCTGCAGATCATGTATTTTCAATATGACTCTATTTCCTAACTGAGTTTTCAAAAGACTTAGATAAATTAGCTATTTTTTTCTGAAATGCTACAGTGTTTCACAGAAGAATTAGTGACACCCAACATTTCAGGTGGTGATTCATGTGCAAGTTCAAAAGCTTTAAATTCTCTATTTGCATGGGATTCATTGATGGGGGAATCAAAGTAAAGTCATTTCATGGCTTTATGGTAGTCCATTCCCCCCTAAGCATTTAACCTAAAGATTCTTGCTTAAATGATGGGCATGTACTATCTAGTTGAGTTTTGAGACATTCAAAAGCTTTGAGAGCCAAAAAAAAAAAAAGATGAAGTGAGAAAGAGGGCTTGAATTGAATTTTCTTTTCCTTATTTTTTGGGAGTGGGTTTGAATGCATTCGATGGCCCTTTGGAGGCAATGCTTAGAATGTAAGGTTGGGATAAGTACAAAGAGAGAAGAGAGAACAAATAGGGCACTGGGTCTCCTCTCATGGCAGGCTCGAACACATGCAATTTCACCTTTTCATGGTACAAAGTCCCCACTTTGACTCACCATCCCCCCACAGCTCCATTCTTGAGTAAAAGAGCAGGCCTTTCCTTTAAACACCCAAAAAAGCAAACCCCAGAGAAAATCCTCCAATGCAGTGAAATCATCATTGGACAGAGACATTATTCAAGTGCACTCTCATAATAGTGTGGGCAATTTGTGTCTCAAATGCCTTGTGCTGTATCTGTGCTTCTGTAATTCTTGTATAGTATGTGTGACAAGACATTAGAACCGATATCGGGTTGTTTCCCGACGACACTTTTTTGATTCGCAATGGACTAAGACCGAAGTCATTCAACCAAAGTTCCCAGAATGACCATTTCAAGCAAAAATTGCACAACTCTCCATTTATTTTGCGAAAAATATAATATTTCTAAAAAATGTTTTCCAAGAAAATAACAATATTTTTCAATATTTGACTGAAACTTATAAAGTGAAAAATATTTTCCGCCATTTGATGTGGAAAATCCGATTTGATTTTACTAAATAGATATACACTATTCGAGCGCTAGTAACTTGCCCATGGTTAGCTGGAGAACCGGGTATGGGCAACAAAGTCTCAGGTTTGATCTCGATGGACCTTGACCTAGGCGATGAGGATTAGGGCATAGGGACCTAAGTCCCGGGCCTGGCCTCCATGGACCTGAGTTGAGTGCGAGCGCCGAGTACCGGGCCTGGCCTCGATGAACCTGAGTGAGAGTGTCGAGGTACCTGGCCAAGCCTCGATGGACTCAAGCTTAGGCACCGTGGATCAGTGCAGGGGCACCTGGATCCCAAGCTCAGCCTCGATGAGCCCTAGCATGAGCACCAGGTACTAGACCCGGCCTCGATGCACCCTGGCATGGGCATCAAGGTCTCGAGCCTTGGCCTCGATAGACCTTAGCTTAGGCACCAAGGGGTCGAGCTCGAGTGTCGAGGACTTAGCATGGTCTTTGGGACTTGCCGGGCCTGAGTGCTAGGGACTAGAGCTCAAGCGTCGGGGACACCAGCACAGCTTTTGTGGACCTAGGCTTGGGTGTTGGGGATCCAAGCTCGAGTACTAAGATCCTACACTCAGTCTTTGTGGACTCAAGCTGGGCCTTAATGGTCTCTGACACAGGTATTGGGGGCTTGGGCCCAAGTATCGCAGTCTCGGACTCAAGCGTCGAGGACCTGGGCACGGGCACCGGGGTCATGGGCTTGGTCTCAATGGACCCAGGCTCAGGCGCCGGAGACTTGGTCTTGAACATTAGGGTCCCAGGAACCACCGCTAGGGTTTTATTACGCCCAAGTGTAGAATTTCATGTCCAAACACTAATGCCTAGTCATATTTTGATAGATGATTACCGATTTTTTTAAAAAGGAAATCATTTTCCTGAATTTAAGCATAGATTTTCTATTACTCATGAAAACATTTTCGGTTAATTTATTTTCCTAAGCAAACCAAACGTCAGAAAATAAAGATATTTTTCACGAAGCAAAGGGAGCCTTAGGTGACTTGAGAGACCGTGTGGAGCTACATAATTCTGATCCTGGGGAGCCAAACCCTACATTTACAGCGCAATTCACCGGAGCATCACTTCCGTAAATTTCTCCGGTAGGATTTGTTACTTGAAGAGTTATGTACTCTTCATAATCGTTCTCGTTTAATGGTGCTATTTCATGCAAATGTGAAAAAGGTTAGTGGTGCCACTTCACAAAAAGGTTAAAAAGATTAATGCATGACCCAAGGCTATATTTGAACAAAATGTTAGTGGCTATTAGGAAAATAATATTTCTAAGAGAGACTTCAAATTATACCGGACCAATTCTGCGGGACCAAATTCATCATAATCATCTCGAATAGTGACTATCGACTCATCTCACTTGATTTCCTACGTTGCAAGAATTTTCAACATTTCTTTTTGGGATAAATGCACTAAAAGTTTTAAAACTTGTTACGAAAGTGCAATTGAGTCCCAAAATTTTCAAAAAAGTGCAATCAAATCCTAAAACTTACCGTGAAAATATAATTGAGTCATAAAACTTTCCAAAGGTACAATTAATTAAAGGCCTTGATTGAATCAATTTAACAAATTTTTAGACTGAAATGCACTTTTTGAAAGTCTTAAAACTCAATTGCACTTTCGTGACAGATTTTTGGACTTAATTACACCTTCATGATAAATTCAAAACTTCCAACGCACTTATCCCTTTCTTTTGTTTATGAAAAACGAAAACTCTCTTTTGCTTCACGATCCACTGTTCTTTAGCTTTAAAAAAATTAATCAGCAACCCTGAAAACAGTAGATCAATCTCATTCATAATATTGTCGAGGTGGTACACCATAAAAAAAAAAAAGGAAAATGACATTGCTCTTCAATCAAACAAAGTGGATCAATGTCAGTCACAAATATTTAATGGCATTTAATTCCAAATGAATTGGGAAAGCAGAGAGAAGAACCCAGTAAAGATTCTGAAATGAAAGTGCCCAAAATTAGAAAGTCTCGCTGATCAACTCAGTCAACATCTAACTTCAGGATACACAACAAATTCAGAAGGCCCTTATGATTAACTCTGCAGAATTCTCAAGACAGCAATTAATACAAACTTAAATTTTAAAAAAAAAAACAAAACAAAAGTTCTTGAAGATGGCAGATTCTTTGCCACACATCCTAAAGTATACATGACCAATTCGTCCATTTTTTATTTTTCCCCAGAAAAAGCATATCGCCGTTCTCGACTTCCGTTGCTCGAACATTTGAAGCATCTATGCACAAAAGTTCTTTTAGTTTGGAAGTCCAAATTCACACGCTTGGAAAAATCTAGAGAAAGGATTTACTTGGTACCTCCGGATCATCAAAGATTAATGTGGATATTAACGAACGTCGACGACTCATTCATGCCGGATAGCTACAAACTTATCACTGGACATGGAATAATGTGATCTGACGCTAGTACAAGCTCGAACATATTTATATATTTCTTTACAGCCCGTGAGGCCGAACATCTCAAAGGAAGAAGA